GTGTGTGTGTGTGTGTGTGTGTGTGTGTGTGTGTGTGTTTGTGGGGGGGTGTTAATTATTTGTTTAATTGATTTTGGATGTTTTATTTTATTTTTTTTTGGTGATGTTTGAATTTTGTCTGGAATCTACAGATGAAAATTAGCCTGTTTTTACATGTCTGGTCCTGGTTCTGACCTTGATCATGATGCAGTGAGTGATTGCTTGGTTTTGATGATTTTTAAAGACCTAAATTTCCTTCAGAAAACAAAGAGCTTTAGCTGCTGAGAAACCTGAAGGTTCTGTTGTAAAAATGTTGTTAGTAATCAGAGTGCTGTAGGTAAAAAGATCAAACTAACTGCAGAAAAAGATTCTATTTCTGTATGAATGTACGTGGCTCACCTGTTTCTGAATGAGGCCTCGTAAACGTTCACACGTCTCCTCGTCTCTGATGCTCCCCACAGATGACAGCTTTGCCAGGTACCTGACACAACGACACAACATAACAAAACACAGCACAACACATCAACAGAGCTGTAATGAGTTAGCTGCTGTGATGCTCATATTGTAACTGCTGACATCCTTTTGATTCTTTAAAAGATGGATGTCCCGATCAGATACTCACTATCGGTGCCATTTTTTGAAAATCGGGTAGAGTCGGATTTAGTCATGTGATCGGGCCGATCCAGTTTTCACGACAGTTTTCAGCATCATCATGCTTTACAACTGCCGTTATGAAGTCAAGACACACACAAGTGTGCACAATGTCCACAGTGTGGGAACACTTTTTAATGGAAAACAATGCTGAAACTGCATCTTGCAAAATCTGCAAACTGGATGTTTCTCATGGCGGGAACAGCAGGGCTCGCCTTACAGTTTTTACTGATTGCTTTGACCTGTTTGAAGGAACTGGGAATCTCTCAGTCTTCATCATCACCATCTCAGCAGAGCAGAAGACACCTCTTGCAATGTGTTAACCCATTCTCATTGGATTGACAGTTTTCACACCCTTTTGCAAAACAGTTAACGCAGATGTCATTCAAGAAGTCCCAACTCCCTTTTAGCTGTCAGTATGAAACACAGAAAGCACCTGTTTGACACTTCTTCACAGAATTTTTCAATTTGCAATCAGTCTGCAGGCCTGTGTTGTTCTCTTTAACTCTTATAATATAGGCCTACTATACATTTTTATTCTTTACTGTAAAAGACTGTTTTTTATTTACCTAATTTCTCACACAGTAAAAGATTTTATTTTTATTTCCATGTATTCGCTGTTGGAATATTTCATTTGTCAGGCACAGTCTGAAAAAAATGTAATCAATAAAATTTGCATCAAACCATATCTGCTTCTGGATGCATTTTTTGTAAGAGGGCAAATTTGACTATAAATAGCACTGGCATGTAAGCTACGTACAGTCATAGGCTACAATGACTAGCAATGGTGCACGAGTGCTGTATTTTGTATTTTGTTGCCCACTGTGTAATGATTGATTGGAGGTGCTCATGCACTGTGTCAAAGTTGAGTTGTTTGAAGGCAAAATTTGCTTTTGTTCCATATTTTAAATGTTTTGACCCAGTTGTTGCTTTCTGAAAACAAAATGTGTCATTTTGACCACTGTGGCACTGTTTAGGCCTCTGCATTAACTGTTTTGAAAATGTGGTTTTGGCGGCTACGTCAAAATGAATAAAAACTGTAATACTACCAATCTTGCCACTTGGAAAGAAATAAAAAACTAAAGCTATCAGATTGGTATCAAATCGGTATCGGAAAGACTAATCATTAAAAAAATCGGATTGTATCGGAAGCCAAAAAATCTGGATCTGGACATCCTTACTTTAAAACTTAGTCAGACACTGTTGGAGTTGATTTGTGTTAGTAAAATATCTCATGAACCTCTGGACAAATGTTACTGAAGTGTTTACAAAGTAACCAATGGCTGCACCTCTACAGCTCAGTTTCTAGAGTCAAACTGATCCAAGGTGGCCACCAATCTAAATGCATCAAGTGGCTGAGAGTCTTCAAAACGTCAAAACAGTTTTTATTCAGACATTTCGAAGGTGAAGCAGAGCGAGACTGTGGGAATGTTTTGGATGGACATCTGCTTGTGATGACAGTAGGAGGACATAAAGTGGCTTATCACACACAACACCTCCAGGCCAGACAGGTCAGGGAGACACACACACACACACACACACACACACACACACACACACACA